CCAAGTAGAAAAAGGTCCTTACCCATAGACCGAGTCAATAACTATTGCACTGTACGGCTCCGACATACTACCGCCAAGGCGGCTACAGTCTACCGGACTTGGAACATAAGAATATACACCCATACAAGCCTTGATCGGCTCTTGTAGGATTGCCATCGTTGCGAGCAATGTCTACATAAATCTCATGAGAGTGCCCAGCACTTTAAATCATATGTTCTCCTGTCCGACTGCTGTTCGCGCCTTCTGTGAACCCTTGTCAGGGGGGCGAATGCAATACACGGCTCTATGCCTTATTCGCGACTCCGAATCCTAGCTGAGGCGTTTTTGAGTTCGACTCATGATACTGAGTCTGGCTCGTGAATAGTCATTTGAGACAGGGTTTCAATTACCGCGGTAGTCCACCTAGATTGATGATGAAACATCGCTCTAGATATTTTCAGCGTGAGTACTTCCACGCTACTAGATCCAGGCTAGACTAACCTTCCACGCGTTCCTTTTTTTAATCGTGGAAGACGTAGGATTGACTTCTCACAACCTACTCTATCACACTTTATAGTCTCCCGCGGGAGTTCCAGATCTACGATCCTTTTTGATTGACTTTGATGATGATCTCTCTCGTTGATTAGTTTTCATAGCTTTCTAATCTCTCTCATAACTTTCATTCTCTCAAACTCAAAACACTCGAAAGATCTTTACACTAGCTTTTAGCGTAGTGCATGAGCCCATCCCTGCAGCTACGATTTCTTCAACTGGGCTTTGTCCCTATTTTTGGTTCCTTCTGGCAGCCACAGCCAACCAGTGAGCGAAAGATGGCCTGTGAAGGACCAATGGCGGCAGCCAGGGACTCTCGGGATTTCCAAAGCTGGAGCAAACTGCACCTAGTTAGAATAATGCACACGTCGTACAGCAGGATTAACCATTATCATCCCACCACTTGTTGCCCCCAGAAGCCTATATTTTTGTGGCCTTCTCAGCATCTCAGCATTCCCAATCTCAATTATGCCCCATGCTTGGTTTGTGTTGAACAAAAGATTGACCAAACCTTTCTTCGCCAAAATCCTGTGTCAGGCAATATCCTTTGTGCAACCCATTCTGAGCCTGTCAAGGGTCATCAACCATGAGTATCCCGTTTCAGACAAGCACCCCTTGATATCTAGAGCTCCAGATACAGTGCTCTGCTCGCCATTTCTGTGCATAACCCCCTAATGATTTCCTTTGCCAATGACACAGCACCTTTGACACAACTGCTCCAAAGAGGTGCTGATTCTGTTAGGGCTCCTGGTTGACCTCCTGGTTGTCCTCTTGGCTGCTGTAACAACCAAATTACCAGCAGGTGTGAGCGGAAGCTTGGAAAGATAGGGATGTAATTCTTTGAAAGTTGCTTGCTTGCTGAAAATGGTTGGTTGCACTGACTGTCACTCTGTTTTGAGCCTAACCACCCCAATTGAAGCGCAATGAAACTCTCCTTGTTTCCATACAGCAAGCTCAACAGGGGTCTTACATCTGAATCACCTCTGACACGCCTCGACATCCCACACGTTGGGTTCTCCGACTGGTCCTCCAACCTAGCATTCACGAGGAAAGAGCTGGCTTGTACGAACAAACACAAAGCCTTGTGTATGAAATACACATTTAGAATAGAACAGAACACACTGACAGTGATGCAGCATCTGCAAACTCCAATTGTACAATTGATCATCACTTGCAAGGACACACTACTTTTTCTTGCACCTGCTGCTGCTCTCTGCCTCTGTTTCCTCAGTTCCAACGCAGGAATCTTCCTTCGAAACCAGTACTTGAACCATTCGAGATGCAAGAAGGACAGTCACACCCACATAAGTCAACTGAACAATCAAAGTTAAAGAAGGATGAGTCAAGCTCACACAATTGAAGTGGAATAATACCAGATAGTGCATTCATGGACACATTGAATAATGTAATCTGTTCCGGGGAGTCAAACTCTGGGATCGACCCTGTCAGCCGGTTGTGTGATAGGTCCAATTCAACCATCTTGTCCAGCATTGTTAGTTCACTTAGCATAGTTCCACCCAATTTATTCCGGGCCAATAAGAGCTTTTCCCATGCAGGAAGAACTCCCAGCTACTGGGAATTGATCCTGTTAAGAGGTTGCCACTGAGATCCAAGGTGGTGTAGACTCTGAAACACCAGTACCAGGGACAGTAATTGCTTGCCAGAGTTCCATTCACAAAACCAATTTCAGAGGGAATGCTACCGCTGAACCTGTTCTCATAAAGCCGTAAATCTCTTACAGTTATCATGAGGAATATTTCTGATGGAATCCAGCCGCTCAAAGCATTGTATGTTACATCAAACACCTGCAAGAGATAGATAGAGAGGGATTTGCTGAGAAACTTAGCAAAGGCATTGAGGGATTCTGAAGATAATTCAGAAGTCTATTTAAAGTTACCTCCATGTGGGGGAGCTGCCTCAGCTCTGATGGTAGTGACCCAGTGAGTTTGTTTTCCCAAAAACAGCTTGTCGAGGAGTCCAAGTTCAGATGGGATAGAACCTGTATGTCTGTGTATTCCAAATGTATGTATGAAGTAAGAGCAAATCCAAGTTAGCAGCTGCCAAAAACCTGTGCAAGATCTTTGGCAAACATAAGGGTACGGTACCTGTTATGATACAGCAAGAGGATTTCCAAATCGGAAAGCAACCCAATCTCTGACGGTATTGGACCAGAAATGAGAAAGTTTCGAATGTAGAGCTGTTTGAGCGCTTATTAGCCATAACGGAGGAATTGAATGATTTGATAGCAAAAGGTCAGAATGGACAACGAACTGAAATCAGCAGCCTTTACGCCCAAGGACAAAAGTCACAACTCACATGTCATGCCACCAATCGCTGTTGCTGGTAGAGTACCGGTGATGAACTTGTGCTCTCCATATTTCGCCAATGCACCCAACACAAGAGTCTTGAGCGACGGAAGCTGGAAGACTTGTACTGGGATTGTCCTGGTGAATGAAGACCAAATTAACGCCAGTTCCTGGAGGTTAGACAACATCCCAATCTCGGTTGGGATGGTTCCCACCAGGCCTGGATTACTCTCCAAGTGCAGCCGCTGAAGCGATGGCAAGCCCCAAAAGAGTTCAAGTGGGATTGTTCCTTGGAGCTCGTTTTCCTGCTGTGCTAGGATCTGAATGTTGTCATTCCTGTCGCATACATCAACTGTTGGGAAGTCATACAGAAAATGATCTGTCAGCACTGGCTGCAAGTTCAAAGACATCCATTCACATTCGTGACGTTCGTGGGATAGCCATCTATCTGTCTGATTCCATCCCAAACCATTGGTAGCATAGAAGAATGTTGCCAAGGCAAAGCGTTGTCGTAGACGTTCTTGAGTGTAGTTGCCTCCCAACATTTGATCTTCCAACAACCACTCATAGGCTTTGGCCTGAGTTGAATTCTCGTCCTTCATGAGGGTCGACACCGTGTAGTCGGGAGGATCCAGGAGGGCAAGAAGATCCTGCGTGGGCGAAATCGTTTCAATGCTTTTGGCGTCGCTGTCCACCGTAGCACCGCCTTGCTCATTCTGAGTATTGTCCTTGTCAACAAGGATTAGGGAACAAACCAGCACAACGATTCCCACGACAAGAACTTTAGAAGAGGCCACATCCTATGGCCAACTGACGATCAATTTTTCGATCCCCTTGGGCACGTCGAGCCGAAGACCGGCGTCGGGCTTCCTCCTCATCAACGGGTTCCGCTTCTTCACGTTCTCTGGTTGCGGATTCATCCACAACTTTCCGGGCTTCCAGCAAACCCGAGTCGTCGTTGCCAATACTACGACTGGACAGGCGAGGAGGAAGTGCGCTCTGCTGCTGGCGTTGCAACAATTCATAGCTCAGTTGGTCATTCGGTGCGACTTGGGGTCCTGGCGCGGCACTGTAGGCACCTGGCACACCCACAAACGCACCAGGTCCGGCCATGGGTGTTTGGCGAGCCAATTCCAACCAGCGCGAGGGTATTGTCACTTCATTGTTGTCTTGTTGGTACTGTGTCGAAGGGGTCGTGGTGGTATCTTCCATCGCAGCTCTATTTGATTCTTCGAGATGTTGCGCGAAGGACAGACCAAATAGCTAGATAAGCAGCAACACTGCACTCTCACTTATCCTTTAGCATGACATTACACTGATTGATAGGTCTCTTGACAGGTTATGATGCCCACACTACGCTACCGCTAGTGCCTTGTATCTCTACCGAAGTGCTTCTAGTCTCCTGCTATTGGCAAGCCGGGTACAACTTGACCGGTTCCAGCTATTCCCAACAACTTCCTCAACTACTACTTTACTTGACTACTACTTTCCGACTTGGTTCTCCGCCCATCTCTTTGCCGCAGACCCTGTCGTTTCATTCCTACTATTCCTACGTTTCTTTCCTGTCTCTGTCTGTAATCCCTTCTGCCCATGGATTCTACAGGACAACCCCTTTTGTTGGACGACCAGCGCTCCTCTGAGTCCTCCACCTGACGATGTTTCGACATCCACCACTGCTTCAATTCTTATTTCTGATTCCCATGCACTCCATTCCTTTTTCCCATCACTCTTTTCGGTTCTGCTTCTCTCACTACTGGTCCTTTCTTCTTTCACGTCTTTTGATCTCCAATGCTATCCCATTCCGGATCACGGGAGGGTGTTGCACGAAGGACAGACCAAATAGCTAGATAAGCAGCAACACTGCACTCTCACTTATCCTTTAGCATGACATTACACTGATTGATAGGTCTCTTGACAAGAAACCCTCCCGTGATTGGAAATGGGAGAAATGTCTGCCCCGGAAAAAATTGGAGGAACCAAAATGGAAGGGGATGGAACCAAGGGTGCCTGAGCAGCGGGATCGGAATGCGGGGTGGATTGTCGAGGAGTTGCTGTGGGTGGTAGGGCGACAGCGTCCAAGGGTGGTTCGGGTTGGGGTGGAGAAAATGCAGGCAAAAGGGAAGGGGGTGGGTTGGGGTTGAAATATTGAATTTTTCGGTCGGATAGAGGGGTATTGGAAGGGACAATAGGCAATTGTTGGGTGCTGAAAAAATCATTCAATAAATAGGCAGGCTGGTCAGGAGATTGACGTCGGATGTGCTCAGTGTGGATATAAATATGGACGGGGGAATTGGCGTAGCCGTGCCGATCAAAGGAATTGGAGACATCACTGAGAGCAGCGGCAAGTGAAGCAGCGGTCAGCGGCACAAGTTCAGTGTTGGGAGATTTGACGGAAAGGCGGGCGCTGAAGATGAGAGGCTGACAATCGTGGTAGATTTGTTGAAAGAGATTCGAGTCTGGGTTCAGTCCGATGAGGTCATGAAGAATTTCGCGACGGAGAGCTGGTAGGAGTTCATCGTCGTTCTTGAGACAATCCTTGGTGAACGGTGAAGGGTGGGTGAAGAACCGTGGGTCGTTGCCGTACACAGAGAAGGTATGGCAGAACAATTTTTGGAAACGGGTAGCATCAGCGGAAGTGAAGCGGAACTGGCCGGCAGGAGACCCAATGAAGCAGTGGTGGATGTCGAAACATCGTCGGGTGAAGGACTCAGAGGAGCGCTGGTCGTCCAACAAAAGGGGTTGTCCTGTAGAATCCATGGGCAGAAGGGATTACAGACAGAGACAGGAAAGAAACGTAGTAGGAATGAAACGACAGGGTCTGCGGCAAAGAGATGGGCGGAGAACCAAGTCGGAAAGTAGTAGTCAAGTAAAGTAGTAGTTGAGAGTTGTTGGGAATAGCTGGAACCGGTCAAGCTGTACCCGGCTTGCCAATAGCAGGAGACTAGAAGCACTTCGGTAGAGATACAAGGCACTAGCGGTAGCGTAGTGCGGGCATCATAACCTGTCAAGAGACCTATCAATCAGTGTAATGTCATGCTAAAGGATAAGTGAGAGTGCAGTGTTGCTGCTTATCTAGCTATTTGGTCTGTCCTTCGCCAACATTCTCTCACTACTGGTCCTTTCTTCTTTCACGTCTTTTAATCTCCAATGCTATCCCATTCCAGATCACGGGAGGGTGTTGCGCGAAGGACAGACCAAATAGCTAGATAAGCAGCAACACTGCACTCTCATTTATCCTTTAGCATGACATTACACTGATTGATAGGTCTCTTGACACGAGATCCACCGAGGACGTCACATGCGTTGGCTTGTTGTTGTTCCGACATTGTTGCTCTAGCCTCTTGGCCACAACTTGCAAAACGTCAAAGTCATCGGTTGGGCCACTATTACTACAATCGGCTGCCATTGTTGATGGTGGTTGCAATATCCCCACCGCGAGTTCGTCAGCGCGACCCTGGCCCTCCTTGGAGTTGACATTTGGGTCCTTTGGTTGCCATTCTCAAGATCTGTCATGCCAGGGTCAGACATCTTCATCTGATCATCGCCATGCACCGACTCGAACTTCTTCTTTGCATCCATTTTCTCGGTCACCATGGTCAGCGGTACCGGAGCGCGTCTTTTGGGTTTTGGGAGCTGTTTTGGGTCATTGGAAGGATTTTTGGAAGGATTTTTGGAGTTGTGGTGGAGCTGGATGCAAAAGGCTTTGGGATCTAATCCACTGGCCATGATCTAATTGAGGTAGATGAGGTAACTACTACTAGTATAAATTTGTATCCACTTGTAGCTAGTTTACCTCAACGATCTGTGGAGAAAGTCGTTTGAGGACGCAGGAGGGGGTCGTGTCTTATCTACTACTCCAGTAGCTAGCTACAGGAGTAGCTAGTTTGACCGTTTGACCATGTCAACAATGACTCTGAAAATCTCCAGTCTCCAGTCACTCTGGAGGAGTATTAATTAATTAAAGCAACATTTTAAGACATAGATTCCTCAATAACCACTGTACTTCCCGGAGAACTCTATCTAAAGAATACAAGCGACAGAAAAGAGAAGGGACAGTATTTTAAATAGTGGGCAGGGTGAAGAGTTGTGCACGTATTTACAGTGAAAGAGTGGTGTAAGAATCCTACTAGTAAGCAGCTGCGCTTCTTATATAGACAAAGAATCTGTGAGGTTTCCTCACGACTTAATGAAGGGGTTTGTAAGGGGCTAGTTGATCCAAAATTTGGCAGCACCACACACTCCAAGAAACAGTACCAAGACACTTTTTAATGATCTTTATCCGGTGGCTTTTCATTGGAGTGTCCTTGGCATGTTAACTCATGCTCTTTACTCTTTCTACACAGAGAAGGCAAGGATGGACAGATACAACTCAAGCAAGCGAGAAAAAGCTACGGGTAGAAAATGAGATGGGGTGAATTGTACCTGATAGACTAATGGAATTTTCACCATTGGAAGCACTGAAACGGGGAATCAGTCATTGATTGCGCTCAAAACAGAACAGGGGGTACGAAGAGCTAGCTTCCCCTGGAAATACACGGCCCAACTGAAGAGACTGGATAGACAGACTACAGACAGATGCTTTCTTGATGAAACCACAAGACAGAAAGAGGTCTGTCCAAGCAAATGTCTCGCACACTCGCACATGGCATGCACAGATACACAGAAACACACAACAGCAGCAGCTCACACCGCCCATCAAACTTTGTTATGTAGTTATGTAGTACCATCCTCATTGTTGATGTTGATCAGAGTGACGTTTGCTGATGCTGATTGTGTTGTTTGACTGAGCGTCGAGAGATACTGAAAGAAGATAGTGCAAGTGGGTAGTAATAGTAATGCAAGTGGATAAGCTACCACGACCGAAGCGTTGGATCCCTCTCTAGCTACTTTTTGTAGCTCAATTCAATCCAAGCGATCCAGTTGAACCATACCGGTAGGAGTAGGTTCCTCGCACCACTACTAGTACCAGTATCAAGCCTGGGTCAATCGAAAGGTCTCAACTGGAGAACTGAAAGCAGTCCTCATTGAATTGTATGGACCATGGGAAGTGATAATGCTACTAGTACCACTACGGGTCTGGTACAGATCAAAGAGTTGGATCCTTCTTAGATGTTGAATGGTGCTCCGTGGTTGATTGTCAATAAGTTTCAGTTCCAATACTGAAGTAGTGGACTGGACCTCGCTGAAACCCTTCCTCAGGAACAGCGGTAGTCAGGCAGCAAGGGAGCCTTGGAGTGCCTCAGGAGTATTCCAACACCTCCAGTAGGCACCAAGCCAAGGACTTGGCCCTGTCAGTCAGACAGGAGGGCCAGCAGAGCTCTCTGCTGGGCCCTTTGGACCAGCTCACCTCAGGAGCTGGGAGCCTTCGTTATTCAATCGTGCAGTGGCAGTCTGGGAACAGAACTATCTGCTACCTCCTACTGCTTCTGCCCGGCCTCAACAGGATAGGAATCAACTGCTGCGGTATCAAAGGGGCTACAAGCTAATCAGGATCGGTCTCAATCTTTCGTACTATTTTCTTAACTATGATAGAAAGGACAATCCTTTCTTGCTGCTTTGGCTGGAGATAAGCCAGCTGTGGGTGCTGGAGCTGTAGGCCAGCATAGCTGTTGGATCTATCTCTGACGGGATCCAGAGCTCTCGCTCCTAAAAGTTATCGATTGTTTGTCGCTCCAATGAATTGGTTCTCTTCCATCCGACCGGGGACAAATGAGCACCACCCGGAAATTTGGCACCATGGGAACTCCCATCAATCATCTAACCAGTGCCCTATAGAGCCATTGTGAGTGTGTGATGGTATGACCAGTGAAGTGGGTCTTGGTTTCTCCGTTGATTGGGTGGATGATTCCTTTTCCTGTTAGGCACACATAATGTTTCAAAATGGGTTGCAGCATGGCGACACGTTCTTGAGGAGGTTGGATGGATCATCTTGCAGGGCGGCGAGTATTTTGTTGGTAGTGTTGGGGCGTCACCGGGATTGGTCCATGGCCATGCACTAATGCCATGTCAGCCAGCTTTGGGGTAGAAAGCATGGTGGTGGTCAGCTTCTGGGAAGGCGACACCGTGGCAGTCAGCTCCTGGGTAGGAGACACCAAAGCTGCCTTGGTCAAAGGTGCTTGCTGTGGTTGCTCCCCATTGATTCCACCAAGGACAGAGGGTATCTGCTCGGTGGGCCTCCTGGCAAATGGACTGGTGATGGTTGGACCAAGGCTGGTCCTATCCAAAGACAACGGCACCTCATTGGGTACGAGTCTTGTGGCATTGGTTGTGCCATAGGTTGGTGGTTCTGTGGGAACCAGTCTGGGAACCTTGGGCCTCACTATAGGTGATGGACCACTAGGTCTCCTGCCAATGTTGGTTGTGGTGGGACCCTTGTGTGCTCTGTGCCTTGGAGCAGGTTGCTTGGGGGTCACCACTGTGTGGGTCTGCTCATGTGCTCTTGGTTGTAGAGCTGACTGAGTGGGAGCCACACTTGGTCTGTTCGGTTGTGCAACTGGAATGTTGTTGGCGCCAGCTCTGGAAGCTGGTTGCTTACTGGCTGGAGGTTGTGCCATCATGATCTCCCCAAAGGTTGGATGAATACTAGGGCTGGCAAGCTCGATAATCTCCCCATCATCTAACGATGGATGGGCACCAGCGAGGGCATTCAAGGGTGTGGCACTGGGCAGCTGGTGGCTCGTAGCTGGGACACGCAGGGGTCGTGTGACAGGCAACTCCCCACAAGCTAGCTTGGGAGATGGAGCCGTGGCTACATTGGTGGGCAGCTGGTTGGTGGCCAAGAGGGCATCAGTCAATTGTTGCTGGATGGCAGTGGCCTCTTGCTTGGAACGAGTAGCCCTGTGGTGCCGCTGCTTCTTTGGGCTGTGGAGCTGTTGGGTACCAATAGCGCTGGTCTCCCCATGAACTGATGGTGTCAAAGCAGGTGCAGGTGCTGTGACAGGTGGCCTAGCAGCTACCAAGACCAAGGCTTCCAGTTGAGCTGCCAGTTGGTCCTTCAAGGCAATGAACTGAGCTTCCATCTTTCGTTTGAAGGTTTCGTGGTCAGCTCTTATGTCTTGCTTGGATGATTCGTGATCAGCTCTCATGAGGTCGAGTTGTCGAGCAACGGTGGCCTGTTGCTGTTGAAAGTGGATCAGCATGTCTTCCATGGCTGGGGTATAAATGAGATCTGGGTGACAACTGGAGCTGTCTCCAGACAGCTCTGAAATCTCCCCATCACCCAGCTGGTGGTTGGTCCTACCATAGTTCATTGGTGTCGGCCTCTTCTCAAGGATGTCGAAGGGTGATTTGTATTCATCTGGTGGGAACACTGTTGACACAGGTGGTGCCGGTGTCTTCTCAAGAATGTCAAAGACGGATTTGTATTCATCTGGTGGTTGTGTGTCCTGATGCCGGGGGCGGTAGGCTAGGTTGCTGTTGCCAGCTCCATCGTGGTGTGTGGGAGGACGGGCACAGGTGTAGCTACCTTGGACCTGGGGCCCAGAGTAGACGCGGTGCCACCAACGTTCGGAGTAGCCAGGGGCATAAGGGTCACTCACATCGCTGTAGAAACTGTAGAAAGACATGGTGCCTCTTGTTACTGACAAAGAAGAGGTGTACCTGCTGTACCGGTGGAAGCACTGGTTTTCAGCTCTTGTTGCAGTAGAATAAGGCTGGCTCAACTGTAGCTGGGAAACCACAAAGGGGACTGCCAGAGACCGTGCTGTGGGGCTAGGAAATTCAACTTGTTGGTAATTGAATAAGGTAGCCTGTGTATGAGCTCTGGAACAAGCTTCCTGAATTGCCGTGGTGGTGGGAACTGCCTTGGTTTTGGTGATTTTGCCACACTGGAAGCTAGTTTACTGGGATCAATGAATCTCCCCACAAAAGCTTCCAAAATTCAAGGTGAGATACCCACTGACCAATTGAGGGATGGCGGTTCCAGTGGTGTTATCTAAAACCTCTCGAACTGATCTCTTCAGCCGCTCGTGTTGCTCCGAGTTACGCTTTCGGTGGTTGATGAGCAATCGATCACGAGATCGCGATCCGTACGGGAATTCAATGACTCGACCGTGTAAATCGGTTGAAATTGTGAGCGCAAAGCGATTACCGTGGCTGAGCCTGCTTTCGGTACGGGGAACTGTGTCCTTTAAACACAGAACCGGTACAGGAAGCTCTCGGATCGGTAGGGAAGCGATTCGGTCGTGCAAACTTGACTCAGAGCATGTCGTATAAGTACCAAAATTGCACGGGCGATCTGATTGGCTGAGCGGCTTCGGAAAAGGAACGTCGAGTTGTTCCAGCGCGTTCCCTGGGTCTTGCGAAACTGTACAGGACGGAAACTCGTGACACTCAAAACTGCACGGGCGACTGCAAAGAGATATACCCCATACACTGCAATAAGCCACGTAGTTCGCTGAAAGAGGCTGAAAGACTGGAAAGGAATAAGCCCGTTCCTCAAAGCGTAAAAGCGTTGCTTGATTGCCAAGAATTGGTGCAAAATCAATAAGTCTCGAAGTCACTCGGAGACTCCAGGTTTTCTGTACCGGGCCTAGTGAGATCTTTTGAGTGAATTGGATGATTTTGCGAACTTCGTGCTTTGTGCTAGCTAGCTATCTACCGTCGTCAACGGGAAGACGTCGAGTCAAGATGGTGATGGTAATCTAGGTCCTTTTGTGGCAACAATGGGCTTTGTGTTGGGATTGTAGGTGGTAGATGGCCAACTGAAAGGTTGTTGTCACTGTGGTGAGGACTAAAACTGTTGGAATTGGCTGGAAGGTTGTTGAGATACAACTTCGAATGTAGGCTTTGAAGTGCACTTCAAATTCCAATGAAACCAACTGTAACTGTAGTGTAGCACTGATTGTTGTAATGCGAAGAGCTCCTTGTCAGCCTGGAGACTCTCCTTCCCTCAAAACTGCCTGAATTCTATGCTGACTGTTAATCCAATAAGTTTCAGTTCCAATACTGAAGTAGTGGACTGGACCTCGCTGAAACCCTTCCTCAGGAACAGCGGTAGTCAGGCAGCAAGGGAGCCTTGGAGTGCCTCAGGAGTATTCCAACACCTCCAGTAGGCACCAAGCCAAGGACTTGGCCCTGTCAGTCAGACAGGAGGGCCAGCAGAGCTCTCTGCTGGGCCCTTTGGACCAGCTCACCTCAGGAGCTGGGAGCCTTCGTTATTCAATCGTGCAGTGGCAGTCTGGGAACAGTACTATCTGCTACCTCCTACTGCTTCTGCCCGGCCTCAACAGGATAGGAATCAACTGCTGCGGTATCAAAGGGGCTACAAGCTAATCAGGATCGGTCTCAATCTTTCGTACTATTTTCTTAACTATGATAGAAAGGACAATCCTTTCTTGCTGCTTTGGCTGGAGATAAGCCAGCTGTGGGTGCTGGAGCTGTAGGCCAGCATAGCTGTTGGAGCTATCTCTGACGGGATCCAGAGCTCTCGCTCCTAAAAGTTATCGATTGTTTGTCGCTCCAATGAATTTGTTCTCTTCCATCCGACCGGGGACAAATGAGCACCACCCGGAAATTTGGCACCATGGGAACTCCCATCAATCATCTAACCAGTGCCCTATATAGCCATTGTGAGTGTGTGATGGTATGACCAGTGAAGTGGGTCTTGGTTTCTCCGTTGATTGGGTGGATGATTCCTTTTCCTGTTAGGCACACATAATGTTTCAAAATGGGTTGCAGCATGGCGACACGTTCTTGAGGAGGTTGGATGGATCATCTTGCAGGGCGGCGAGTATTTTGTTGGTAGTGTTGCCCACTGTAGCAGTTGTTGGCAGTGTTGAGGAATGTAGCAGTTGGCGTTTGGTGGTAGCATTTCCAGTGGCAGTGGCGGCAGCAGCCAATGTTAGTGGTAGGAACGACTGATTAATAATTTGTGTTCTTGGCTGTTGGCGGCATTTGGCAGCGACTCGCTGTAGCTGTTCTTGTTGTCACCGTAGCAGTAGATTCAATGACAGTTGACCTCATTTGCGCCTTTTTGTGTGGACATAGACCATGGTCTCAGTCCAGTTCCAACCACTTGACTTTGTTTTCGCCGATCCCGACACTGTCCCCGTAACTACTACAGTAGCTACAGTTTCTGTCACCACTCCTCGGTTACTCATCCTGTGCACCATGGCCAATGGCCATCACATATTAAATCATCACTGTTATCCGCAGCCATGTAGCCAGTGATCCTTCCAACTGGCTCTTGATCAGAACACTAACTGTGCCATGCTAGTATTTGTACCAAAGTCTCTTTTCCACCACTTTTATTGCACGGTTTGAACCACTCTTTCCGGCCCAGATGGCAATCGACGCTATTCATACCAATAGGCCACAGTCCTGACTGGCTTCATGTGAGTGTTTTCAATGGAGCGTTTGGCCTTTGGGTTGACTTGGGAGCGAAGGCATGGCTGTTGTGATGAAGAGTGGAAGAAGTGCTTCTTGTGAATGAATGAGTGGGGTTTTGCCTGTCTTTGTGGTAGACAGCAATCTCAAATCGAAAGAACCGTCCGCCCAAACCACAACTGCCAGAGCCAGGATCAAGCTACAGAGTAGCTACCAGTAGCTAGCTAGCGAGAATGTCTTCGCTTTAGCTAGATCTGGAGCTCTGGTGTACGTCCAAGTAAAAGGTGTACAGCATAGCAAAGTCAACCTAATTTCTCTGGTGAGCTATTAGCTAGAGAGAATTTCGGTATCTTCATTGAAACATCCCATTTGGAGGGTTTTCACCCCGCCGTGGAGTTACTCACATTCAGGTCACAAGAGGGACAATCACAGCCACAAAGCTGCGAGCAATCAACAGCCAGAATGGATGAATTGCACCATGGGTCAGGTATGGCACCTGTCAGATTTGTCCCATCCAAATATAAGTGTTGAATCGATTGACTCCCCAGTTCCTACTCAGTTGCAAGGGGAAATACAGTAGTGAGGAGGCATGCAGCACAAGGTAGGATACTGGAGCTGTACCGAAGGAGAGCTAGGCTTACCTCCGGGATGGTTCCCGATAGCCGTTCATTGTGTCGAACACTGAAACCACCAAGGCGCAACAATCCAAGCTCACTAGGAATGATTCCTTCCAACTCATCACCCAAAGTTAAATGCACCAAGTTTGTCAAACGTCCTATTTCAGATGGGATTGTACCTGCATGTTGTGCGCGTGAGAAGTGTTATCAGAATAGTAACATAGTGATTTTGTGCAGTATGACGTATTTGACACTAACCAGAAAAAGAATTCTCATGGGTGGAAAAAATCCTCAAATTGGTCATCAGTCCAATTTCTGTTGGAATACTAAATCAAATAGTTGCGGGGACACGTGTGAGGGTAGGTCCAATTAAGCAAGCAGAATCACACCACATTTGTCATCGTTTTCATACCTGCCGTCAAAGTTGCTGGAATCCAGCACAAAATCCCTCAGACTCTCCAGGCCAGGTATGATACTACCAGGAAGGCTGCCTGAAAATTGGTTGCGCCCCAACCTCAGACTGTCAAGCCGTGTCAAGCGGAAGAGGGATGCTGGCAAAACCCCTGTCATTTCGTTCTTCATCAGTACCAACTCGACGAGCGAATTGTTGCAGAGTCCTATCTCATGTGGAATAGTTCCCCTCAATGATGAATGTTCAATGTTCAGGACATTGATTTGATACCAGCTTTCAAACCAAACACCATGTAGCGTGCCACCCAGTTTGTCATTGTTTTGTAATATCACCAGTTTCAGATGAGACAAAAGAGCCAGTTCCCGGGGTAAAGCAGCCGCTTCCAGATTATTTGCTGAGAGGTTGAGACGGACATACATCCCATCCTCGTCACATGTAGCCGAGCCAGGTGGGTTGCCTGTGAACCAATCGCACTCATCATCAGAGTAGGAAAGCCAAGCAGATCCTCCACCTGTCGATTGCCCCAAAATGGGTCGAGGTGGTGACACGCCCTGTCCACAAGAGCCATCGGGTGGTAGGCCTCCTCCCGGCGGTCCTCCTCCTGGCGGTCCTCCACCCGGCGGTCCTCCACCTGGCGGTCCTCCTCCTGGTGGTCCACCAGCGGGGGGACCTCCAGCTGGGGGGCCACCACCACAAGGTCCACCACTTAGAGTAGGGTCGGGACTATCTTCTGGGAGTTTTGGAGATTCTATTTCAATCATGGATCGGGGCGTCTTTCGCAGATAACTTTCGGGATAATGGTACCTTTTCGCTGTATTTCTTCCGTCCAGGTGCAACAGCCGTTGGCTAGAATTTCCATTAGAACCAGTGTTGTTGCTGTTGCTGGGTATTGCTGTTTCAGTTTGTGCTCCTTTATACCACCCATCACCTTTGGTGCTGTAATAGAGGCACGCCAAAGCAAATCTCTGCAGAAGACGCTCTTGCGAGTAGCTCTCCAGATTGGGACCCTCAGTCAACCATTGGTATGCTTGATACTGTGGGGTTGCCCCATCAACATCCTTGTTTAACACATCCAGGGTATAGTCAGGTAGATTGATGATGTAAGGAGTAGGAGTTGGAGCCATGGTTTCATTATTTGTCGTGGTGGTGCTGCTGTTGGTGTCCTCGTCCGATGGCTTATTGGACACTACCAAAACTACAACCACAACTGACACAATCACCACCAACAGGAACATGCCACCAAGCATGGCTAATGTTTTTTTGTCCCTGCTCCTGTTGTTGCTGCTGTTGTCTAGTATTTTGCTTTCCCTCACAGGCATGGCTTGCAAGAGGAACTGTTGACTTTCGTTTATGCGCTGAGCTTCTACCAGACCCTCATCATTGCTGTCATTGATTGGGGGTGGTGGGCTCTCAACATCTTCCAGCTGATTGCCTCCTTCCACTGGCGGTGACAGGTCTTCAAGTCCAGGTCCACTCACAGCAATTGCTCCCGGACGACTGGTAGGACGTGGACGCGCCCGTGCCATGCCAGGAGTTGGTAGGGTGGCTGAGTTGGTCCCATCTCCAGCATTCTCACTCCCATGGAGAACTATGCCGGCTTTTCCTGTCGTTGATGCCGCGCTGTCCAAGAGCCTTTCGTTTTTCAGAGCCTCTGCGTGTGCAGCTTCTAGCAATGCCAGTGCTTTGTCTGCATTCGGTGACGACACATTGGCGTCCCCAGAATTGATGGATAGCTGTCCTTTCTGGTGGTCGATATCAAGACAAAAATCGTCCACATCAATTTCCCCCGGGGTATTTGTCTTGTTGTTGCTATCCAAGAATGTTTGTAGTTTAAGAGCCTCGGCTCTGGCCGCCTCTTCCAAAGCCAAGGCTTGGTCTTGGTTCTTGGATTTTGCTGCGGGGCTGTTGCCCTTGTCATGAAATGTTTGTATCTTCAGGGCCTCGGCCCTGGCTGCTTCTTCCAGAGCCGTCCTTTGCTGAGCTGTTTGTACCTCGTTATCTCTTATTTGAACGGAAAGCTCTTGATTCTCAATGTCCCTCTCTGGGCGGATCACAGGGTTGTTGGTGCTGTTGTCCCCGCCATCGAATGTTTGTATCTTCAGGAGTTCAGCTCTGGATGCTTCTTCCAAAGCCAGTCTTTGAGGAGCTGTCCGTGCTGCTTCTGCATCCTTGATACCAATCGTACTTTCTTGTTTCTCGATGTCCACCTCTGGTTCCACCACGGGTTCGCAGGTGTTGTTTACATCATCATCATCGAACCCCCGCAGCTTCAGGGCCTCTGCTCTTGCAGCTTCTTCCAGAGTCCATGCTACATGTAGGTCGGTTTGTGATTGTGGCGCTTCCTCAAAGTCCCTGCTACTCCCGACCGAAGCTCTCTGTTGTTGGTTGTCTCCTGCTTCCATAATACAGTAGCAGTATCGGTCTTAGTTGTTCTCTATTTGTGAAAAACTCTTTGGGTGGTAGAATCATTCAATCGAATCGAATCGTTCCGTTGCTTGCTATCTATCGGTACGGTACTGTACCTGTCTATCACACGACATTGGGCATCTCTGTGCTCAACTGGTGTGTATGCGTTGTTGTGGGTTCACGGCCGCTCCCTGCGCTCACCTCGCAACTGAGTAATTTTCTATGGTCGCTTTGAAGATAGTGGGACTTCAAACATGGATGCCCGAGTGCCCCACCATAAATCTCGAAATTACACGGAACGCTCGAACTTTCCACGGCGTGGAGTCGAGTCACTGTCGATTGCTTTGACCGCAAAACCCATTGTTCCTCTCATGAGCTCATGAGGCCGTCTCGTCCACAGCGCCACAATTAAAAATCACTTTTGACGACACTGATGGTGTTCAAAGCATATTTGCTCGTCTCCAAGCATGGGCAGAATCGGATGAGCAAGCTCAATCAAAAAACTAAAAGCCTTTTCCAGCACCTGTTTCATCGCCATTCGAAGCTGTTAATTAAACACATACATGTAACCATCCCTTTACTTTGAAGTTTCGGAAGACAACATGTGATGGCTGTGCCGACAGCTCAGTGTGTCAATTGATGTTGGTAGATCTACGTACACGTAACAGAATTGCTGGAGGCAGGTCTTGCTCCACCAACAGAAGCAACTGCAAAGCGAGGGGCTTCCCGGAAGGGAGGACAATGACATACGCCGTCGCGACGAAGACTTCAAAGGACGAGTATGACGACTCGTTATGCTGCTTCGTATCTTACGTTGACATCACTACACTTGCACATTTACCCATGGAAAGACCCGATTTTTCGACGGTCGTAGCTACCAGTACTTGCTAGCTCCAACTGCTGCTACTGGTCCTGGTCCCGCTGGCTACCGGCACCGGTACTACTTCTGACTTTCATTGCTGCTACCGTACCACCCAATCTCAACGATCTCTCCCATGTCTCTAGCTACCGTACAAGGAAACGACGTAGAAGAAGCAGCTTTATACCGGCACCGTCGATTCTCCTGTGAACGAACGGCATGGAAAAATTCTTGTGTCAACCTCTTCAGCCCCGGACGCTTGTTCACCTAGCAGTTTTGTTCCCCAAATCCTCCATGCCGCAGGAGGGACAGTCACAACCACATAGCTGAGCACAATCAATAGCAAGAATGGATGCATTGCACCATTGATCAGGAATCGTGCCTGTCAGATTTGTACCATCCACATATACATGCGGAATGAAACGATCGCCTAGTTCCTGCTCAGTTGCAAAACTGGAAATAGTGAGATTGAATAAAGCCATAAGCACCACAATAAGGCCGTGCCTCAGAACACACAAAGCTGCAACCAAGAACACACTTGTCATACCTCAGGAATTGTACCGGATATCCCTTCATTGTGTCGGACACTGAAACCATCAAGTGTCAACAATCCCAGGTCACTGGGAATTGTCCCTTCCAAGGCATCACCCAAGGTCAAATGAAACAAATTTGTCAATAGGCCCACTTCTGATGGGATTGTACCTACATGTTTGTGTGAGGGGACTGTAATCAACTCTGTACATTATGTTGTGTTCTTTCCATCCACTTACCAGAAAAGGAATTGCCATGTGTTGAGAAAATGCTCAAACTTGTCATTGCCTGAATTTCTGTTGGAATACTGAATACAAAGAGTGAAGTGAGGGTAGACAGAGTCAACTGGCTCACAGCACACCTCTCATCAGGATCTCACCTGCCACCAAAGTTGTTCCATTCTACCACAAAGACCCTCAGACTGCCTAGACCAGACAACACATCGCCAGGAAGAGTGCCAGAAAATTTGTTTTGACTCAGCTTGAGAGTATCCAGGCGGGACAAGCTGAATAGTGAATCAGGCACCAAACCAGTCATTTGATTATTCTGCAGAACAAGAGTTACGAGGGAATTGTTGCTGAGTCCAATCGAACTAGGAATACTCCCCTTCAAGGACGATCCTTCAAAAGTTAAGACATTGATTTGATGCCAAGCTTCAAACAAAAAACTGGATAGTGTGCCTTGCAAGTTGTTGTTGCCGCCCAATTTCAAAGGTTTCATACCAGAGAGTAGCGCCAGTTCATTTGGCAAATTTGAGCTTTGCAATCCGTTGGATTCAAGGTTGAGGCGGATGTACATCCCATCCTCATCACATGTAGATGGACCGGGTGGGTTATTTGTAAACCAATCACACTCATCATCGAAGTAGGAAAGCCACGCTGACCCTCTACCCGGCGCTTCCCCGCCAACTGGAGGTCTCGGAGGTGGTCGGCCCTGTCCACAAGAGCCAGCAGGTGGTGGTCCTCCTCCTGGCGGTCCTCCTCCTGGCGGTCCTCCTCCTGGCGGCCCTCCACCAGGCGGTCCTCCACCAGGCGGTCCTCCTCCTGGGGGAACCCCAGCTGGGGGGTCATTACCACAAGGTCCACCACTTCCAGTTGGGTCTGGACCATCCCCTGGGGTTTTTGGTCGGGCTATTTCTATGGATGAGCCAGGTATCGTTCCCTGAGGACTCCCTTGAATCTGTCGCATTGCAGTTCTTCTTTCTCTGCGCAACAAGCGTTGGTTGGAATTTCCACTGGTCCCAGTGCTGTTGTTGTTGTTGTTGTCATCATCATTGTTGTTGTTTGACATTGCTGTTTGTGCTCCCTTATACCAGGCATCACCATTGGTGCTGTAATAGAGGCATGCTAAAGCAAATCTCTGCAGAAGACGATCTAGAGAGTAGCTCTCCACATTGGGATCCTTGGTCAACCATTGATATGCTTGATACTGTGGCGTTACCCCATCAATGTCGTTCTTGAGCACATCCAGTGTGTAGCCAGGTAGATCAAGGATATAAGGAGTAGGAGTGGGAGCCATGGTGGTTTCATTGTTATCTGTCATGATGCTGCTGGAGTCTGTGAGGGATGACTTGTTCACCACTGCCAAAGCTGTAACCACGGTTGTGATGCACCAACATCAGCATGCCACCAAGCACGACAAACGCTCTCTTGTCTCTGATCATGTTGCTGTTGTGCAGTTCTTCACTTTCCCTCATTGGTGTGGCTTGTGAAAGGTGCTGTTGACTTTCGCTAATGGGCCGAGCTTCTACCAAACCGTCATCATCGGCGTTGTTAGGGAGAGGTTGACTTGTGATATCTTCGAGTTGATTGCTGGCTTCAACAGTTATTGTTCTCTCTCCATCATCATCATCATCATCAAATCCAGGTCCATCTACTGCAAAGGCTCCTGGGTGGCTGGTAGGATTGCGACGCGCCTCTGCTCTTCCAAGCGCTGGCAGCGAGACCATGGTGTCCAAGTTCGTTGGGTCTTCGACCGCACTCCCGCATGACGATAGCATGCCCATGGGATGTGGATATGTGGATATCCCGGCGGGGCCGTACCTCTTCTTCTTGATGACGTTTCTGTTGAGTTGTTGTTATTGAAGAGCTTTTCCATTTTCCGAACCTCTGCTCGAACGTGTTCAGCTTGTACTGGTAGCACCGCCATTGCTTTGTCCTCAATCTCTGACAATGCCTTGGCACCCTCGGAAGGAAAGGTTATTTGCATTTTCTTGTAGTCTTTGTCTTGTGCCATCTCCAAGTCGTCAAGGCAAAGATCATCCACATCGACTTCCACTGAAGCATCTGTATGTATCGTGTTGTCATTCTCCAACAAAGTTTGCACTTTCAGAACCTCCGCTCTAGCGGCCTCTTCCAAAGCCAAGGTTTGCTTCTGGTTTTCTTCAAGTATGGTGGTGGGGCTGTTTCCATCATCATGGAATGTTTGCACGTTGAGAACTTCTGCTGTCGCGGCTTCATCCAGAGCCAATGCTAGGTCAGTTGGGGACGCTTCCTCCAAGTCTCTGGACTCATCGCTTTGTCCCTCACGGTTGTCCGTTGGAAGCGCTGCTTCCAAACCATGACTATTTCCAGTATCCATCTCGAGGCTAGATTGTGAAGTGAAAATCTCTTCTTGATGGAAAAGTGGAGCAATGTTTTCAGCTGGAACCCTGGAAGGGCGTTGTGGTGTTGTCAATGAGAAGGAGTGGTGTCCCCCCGTCACTCGTTTTCCTTTGCTGTGTCTGAGTGGTTTTCGCTGCTTTGGATATCGCAGCTGAGCCGAGTTGCATCGGACTCCTTATTACAGGCCATTCGACTCTCCTCCAACCTCCAAGCAGTTTCCGTCTCCGTTGCTGCGCTCGTACAGTCGTAATTTTGTGCACGCAAATATAAATAAATGACATGGCATCTATTTAGTTATCGGAGCACTTTGCCCTCGCCGAACCTTTTAGTTGATCTGGAAGAACAAGACCAAAAGGTCTGGCCAAACAACAGAAACGTTCCATCAAACCAAAAGTTGTGAACATGCTCGTTGCCGCCTTGTTGATCGTGGTTGTCATTGTTGCGATCGTGTTAGTTCCAAAGATCGAAAAACTTCGATTTCGAACGGGATACCGACGGTGACACTGGATCATTTGACTGGATCTCTACCCTCCGAGATTGGCCTTTGGTCAGACCTTGGGGAATTGAATTTGATGGAAAACCTGTTCAAAGGAAGTATCCCACATCAATTCTCCAATCTATCAAAGCTTACCAGTTTGAATCTCAACCGCAACAGATTCACACATCTTCCTGGTGCTTCATTATCAGGACTTTCAAGCTTGGTGCTGTTTGATGCAGTTGGTAATTCATTTGCCGGAAAACTACCATCTGAAGTGGGTCAGATAGCAAGTCTGAAAGCATTGTCACTTCATAGCAACTTCTTCACGGGAGAAATCCCAACAGAGTTTGGGTTGCTGACACATTTGGAGTTTCTATCCTTGGGAGACAATGATTTCCAATCCACACTGCCAAGTGAGCTAGGTTTGCTCCCAATGAATGTGACTTTTTCTGTCAAGGGTATCCGAAACCTTGTCGGCGCTATCCCTGTTGAGCTAGGGATGAGGCCTCTCCAGAATGTGTACCTTCAGGGGACGGGTTTGACTGGAACCATCCCGTCTCTTTGGTGCAACACAACAAAGGAGCTCGTCTTTGATTGCTCACCGAGCCTTGTGACTGCCCTTGCTCACGCGTTTAGCTTGATTGCTCCCGCCCGTGTTCTCGTGGTTGCCCGTTGCCCGCCAGCTTCCAGTTGCAGTTACAAGTCAAGGAACAGATGGGAGCATGGTTGGTTAGTTATCGGGCAGCAGGTGGCTGGTTCGTGGTTCGTGGTTCGTGGTGGCCACTTTTTCACTTTTTGGTGATAAAGCGATAAAGCAGGGTCCATCGGTTTGTGTTCTTGCAGGAAGATAGGTAGATGCGGTAAACATAATGTTTGATATTTTATAACATATTCAAAGGAAACTATAGTTTTAACCCTAAAGTTTACCCGAATCACCCAGCTAAACTGTCTTCCAGTCCCCAAACGACCTCCTTATGAGTACAGAAACTATTATAGTACAGCGCCAATTGCAAGCTTAATTAATTATTAATTAAGCGATGCAAGATACTAGTCTGGAGCATGACTGGAGCATAAATGTAAGATACAGCTGTACTCGAGTAATTAATTACTTTTTTTTTAAAGCATTCGCTTCTTTAAACCGCAAGAGCTCCGGTGATTAAACCTTACCAGTACACTTGTAAATGTGTTAACCTTTTTTACAATATTGCTCAGAGCCACGCTTCTGCAACCTGCGACCTGCAACCTGCAACTGAAAAACTGAAAACCAACTCGCACATTCCTTCTTTTAGCTCTCACAAAGCTCAACAGCGATCCTTTTTGCTCACGGTATCTCCTTTTGGCATCAACCCTCAGCAGGCAACAGAGAAATGGGAAACGAAAACGAAGACTGTGACTCTCTCGTGGAGATTGATGTTGATATGTACACCCCACCACCAGAAGATGGTGGCAAGGAACTCGTCATCAGTGAGGATCTCGTCGACGACGACGAAGATCCCGGTCCTGTTTTGGCTCTAGAGGAAGCATGTCGTCGCAAGATTACCGAGACAGACGTTGATAATCCCAGCAGCATCCTTGATTCCTCCAACAAAGAATCTTCCGAGAAGCAAGACGATTTGGCGCGAGAGAAACTGATTGCATCTCAAGATGTTGTCATCCGTCGCAAAGCAGGAGTGGTCATGATCGACATGCCTGCTAACCCAACTAATGCAGGCAGAAACAGTGATCAAGTCAACCGACATACAGCCTCCATGATGTTGTCACGTGTTCAAGTTATTGAAGCTCAAGATGCCACTGTTAGGCGCAAGGGAGGAATGCTCTCTTCTACTACCACTATGAGCACGAATGGTGCCATTGACGAGGGCGGCCGACAAGGAGATTACATTGCTGGAGAGGCGAACACTTTTAGAAGGGGTCGACAGGTCATGTCTTCAGGGAATACATGTACTGTCAACCTTCCAGATGATATTCTTCATGCCGTCATGCCCATGCCGTCCAGCCTATCCAGGACGCCAGGAGGTGGCAGCCACTCAAGGACTTCTACTCCTGGCGCCTTTCCAGTTTTCGGACCAGTGCCAGGAAACCCAAGATCCCTTGCTCGTCACCAACGTAATCTGGAAACAGAGGAAGGTCTGGGGGGATCTTCTACTTTTAATGTACACGCAGAACCCAACGTCTTCTCCTCCTATGAGGTTGGCTTGGTCCATGCTCGTCAAGTGGGACAAGAAGATATTGGGCAAGCAGTTCTTATGTCGCAAGACTTAGAGAGCCAAGGAGAGGCGGGAGGGAAATCCAAGTCTCATGCAAAAAAGGAAGTTCACTGTTACATTGTGGTTGGAATTGGGTTGGTTCTGATTTCTATTTTGGTTGTTGCTGTGGCGGTAGCGGCAGCGGGCAAGAGCAATGATTCTGCTGTCACCTCCAAGCCTCAGACAGATGCAACTGGAGATTCAACGATTGACTTTACCAGCGCCACCTCAAATATCACTACCATTGCTCCCACCGCAGCACTTGTTGTGGACCTTCCAGAGTACACTCTAAAGGTTCTCAGGGAAGATAAAGAAGGCACTGCACCACAGTCAAGAGCTTACAATTGGCTGATCAATGACAAGAATCTTGAGAGCTACTCCGCAGAAAGACGTCTGCAGCGATTTGCCTTGGCCTGTTTCTACTATGCCACTGGTGGTGAACAGTGGCTGATGGGGGGATCAAGCAGCAACAACCACAGTACAAATAATAGTGCTAGCAACAGTCAGCATCATGGGCGCCTTTTACAGCCAAGTCCAGATGGCCCCAGACCATACATGAAGCCAACAGAAGGACAGCAAAAACAAGGCTGTTCAGACACCACTCCAAGTGGGAAGCAAGGGCCCGGGAGTGATGGTGACCCCACCCTGCCTCCGTGTCGTGGTGGTGCTCGCTGGCTGGATTATTCAGCTCATGAATGCACATGGTTCCATAGGTTTTCCAGCATTGAAGAATCAATCTGTGATGAAAATGGTGCCTATGAAACTATCAGGCTGGTGGCAAATGGATTGCGTGGAACACTGTGTCCTGAACTGGCCCTGCTGTCGAATCTCAAAAAAATTCTGACATCGGACATTGGGGGAACAATGATACCAACAGAGATTGGAGCTGGTTGGCAGAAGATTGAATGGGTAATGTTGATGGGCGGGCGAGGCGGGAGCCTCCAAGGGACTCTACCTTCTGAGATTGGTTTGTGGAGTGAAACAATAGAAAGGTTTAGCGTCATGGCGAACAACCTGAGTGGAGGTATACCAACAGAACTCTTTGCTCTATCCAGGTTGGAGTCCCTTCAACTGCTCGACAATCGCTTTGTGGGTCCATTCTTTCATCCTGAACTTCTCCCCAACTTGAGAGCACTGACACAGTTGGAGATACTGGAAAATGAGTTTGATGGAACCATTGCTACTGAGATTGGTCTTGTTACCAATCTGGAAATACTATCATTTCATTTTGACCATGGCACAGGTCTTATGACTGGTACGCTGCCAACAGAGCTTGGCTTGCTCACTGAAATGTACTTTTTCTCAGCAGGAAATCATCTGCTGACTGGTCAGATCCCCAGTGAGCTTGGCCTCTGGCCGCTTCATACACTGAGGTAAGTCATCCTGTGTGTTTTGTCTGATTCAGTGCACATGCTTTGTTGTCCTCAAGGACAAGGTTGCCACGTTCGTCTCTGTCCAGTGTCAAGGACAACCCTCTGACAGGTACTATCCCATCGGAACTAGCAAGCATAGAAATCCCGTTTGTTTACATTCAAAGGACTGAGTTGAGTGGCACAGTCCCAAGTACATGGTGCAATGCAACAGTACTGCGCTTTACCTGTTCCGAAACACTCTGCGGCTGTGACTGTCCTTGCAGTCTTGGAAACCAGACTCAGGATTCTACCGACCCATAAGCCTGGATACAAAACCTAACTAGCTAGCTAGAAGACACTCATCCATTTGAGCTCTTGCGGCAACTTGGAAAGCCCCTCTTCTTGAATTGATTGCATGGAATGATCAATCGAATCAAATGGTTGAACAATGATTGAATTTGAATCGAATCATTCAATCCTCGAGATGCAAACACGTAGGGTACCGGTACCGGTACTAGCTAGTAGTCTACTACTAGCAAGGTACTAGTACCGCGTCTGTCGTCAGGCTCCTTCACCGGTATCGGTACATCGTACCGTACCGGTACAGTATGCTGCCGTATGCAACATCAGTGGGTTTCGATTGACTGAATGAACCAAGACCTGAAGACTCGTCACTCACTTGTACGATTGAATGCCATCTCGGAGCGTGGAACGACAACTTCTACGAAGCCATCGATTTTACTAGTACGTGTACTGGCTTTTGGGTTTTAGCAGTCAACGATTTCACACGAGCGGTGGAATACACAAAATCGACAGGACGACAATGAAGATGGTGTTCTGGAAACGACTAGCTGGTAAAGGCGAAGGCTCCCGAGGAGCAGGTGGTTCAGAGTTGAAATCAACTCTAACAGCGAAGATTAGCTCCGAAGTGGCGAGCAGTTCGTATCGCGAGTGCGAGTCCTCCTGCGGGTGAAAGAGCGCGTTGTTTGAAGAAGGCGAAGAAGGCCATGAAGAAAGATGGACACGGTGATTACCTAAGGGAGGCCAAAAAGGCGAGAAAGAAAGGTCGGCTTGTCGAGTATCTTCAAAGCGATGGTGGCAAGATCATGAAGGGGTTATTATTCCTATATGGCCGTGGATTCTACAGCGAGGAGGATGGAGAACGCCAAAAAAAATCAAACTGCTGCTTACTAAACTGGGGAAGATCGAGGACACGGACAAATCTGGGCTGGTAGCAGTCCATCGTCTTTTCAAGCTCGCCAGCACAGATCACGATGAAGACGTGACTCGTGATCGAATGAATCTGCTTGTCAACACCAAGGTTGCTCTCAAACGCTATTTTGAGCAAGAGGGTGCATTTGGATTTCTAAAAGACACGAGCCAAGCAAAGTATTTTCTGAGAATCCAACAGCAAGGGAATTGCTTCATGAACGCTCCGGCCGTGTTCTTTGCGTACATTTTGCAGTTTCTCGACCTCTACGAAGATGGTGTGCACGGTGCTGTCGATGTCGCCAAATTCATTCGAAGAAGCTTCACGGATCCTGAACTGTACGACTACGTTCGTGAAGGTTCAGGAGGAAATGCGGACGCCGTTCTAAAAACGATTCTCAAGCCTTTGCTTGGATTTGATGCAACCACGACGGGAATTCGCCCTCGAAACGCAATGCAAGCGTCATGAATGTATGAATCGAATCGGCTCTAGGTTGAAGCGATGGAACGATGTACAGCGATACTTACACCTCGATGTAACCACCAATCTTGAGTTTTTTGACATTGGGTCGTCCCAGTACCTCATCCAGTACTTGTTTGATATTAAAGCCAATCTTGTCTTGATTGGCAAAGATTTGGTTCCCGGCGTTCATGAGAAAGTTGCAGCAATCTCCCACGGCCAGCAAATTCTTGGACTCTTGGACGCGGTAATTGGCCTCCACCTTGATCCATCCCTTTTCATCCAAGTATTTGCTGTCGAGGAAGGATTGATTGACTGCCGAAATTCCAATGGTCGTGACAACTTGATCGGCTGGAATGATGGTTTCTTCCTTCTTGGGTTGTTCTCCTCCTTCACTTGTGCCAGTATTCTTGGGGATGAGTTTGACACCCGTCTCGGTTTGTTCGGCTCGAGTATCCACAACCACCTTGACACCAATTTTTTCGAGTTTGGCCTGAATCATATCACCAGTCCCTTGATTGCAATCCGCGTTGCAAAGCCACATGCCACTGTGCACCAACGTGACTGCTTTTTGGTGTCATCGCTACCGGTACCACTACTAAAATCCATCAAATCACCGGCCACTTCGGCACCAATCAATCCACCCCCCACAATGCACACGGACTTGGCCTGCAAGAGTTTGTCCCCTTCCGCCTGGAGGACAGCCAGACGTTCTGCTTTGGACAACGAGAGAGGTCCACGCCCCAATCCAGCCCAGGGTGCCGTGGCTCCGGTGCAAAGGACAGCCACGGTAAATTTCACCACAGTCCCATCGGCACAGGTCGCTTGCGTGTCGTCTAATTTCGTGACGGTGGTTCGCAACAATGTCACATTGTGATCTTTGGCCCACGGCGCCAAGGGCAAGACCGATTGATGCGCTAAGTCACTATCAAAGGGCGTTCGAAAGGTCACCCAGGGAATTTCGCAATAGTCCTTGGGTTCCACCAGGACGATTTCCACATCCTTGTCGTATTTGCGGAGCTTGAAAATAGAACAAGTGCCGGCAATGCCACCTCCAATCACCAGGACTTTGGGTTTGTCTTGTGCATCAGCAGTGTTTGTAGCAACAGCGCTCATGGTGGAGATCACACTTGCTTGTCGATATTGAATCCAAAGATTGAGCGAAAACGCTTTTTGCTGTTACAGGTTGCAAGGTCCCACCGGTAACGAAATTGCAGCTTCTCGTTTCTGGATCTTTTGGATCTTTCACCTCTGCCCCTTTGGGTGACTGGGTGCAAAAGCAACTTGGCTGGCTAAGTGAGAATGTGAAGAGCGTCCGACGCCAAAGAGACACTCTGGTCTTGTTGTGTTGTCGGTCTGAATCTCTTGGAATTGGAAGTAGACTACGCAACCATGGTGAAACGACAAAAGGAGAAACAGTACCAATCGGCACGAGAGCATCGAGCCAATTCGCAGTTGCGGTCTGGCACAGCTAGTAATAGTAGTACGAGCAGTACTCGCAAGCTCCCCTTTAACTGCTGTGCTCTGAGTTTGATGCCCTTTTCCACTCCCATCGCAACCCGCAGCAACGGGATTGTCTTTGACAAGCAATCGATGGAAAGTTTTTTGAAAGAGCATGACAATATGGATCCCGTGACAGGCAAGAAACTCAATCCTCGCGAGGATTTGATTGCCTTGGAGATGGATCAAGATGACGAAGGCCGATGGCAATGTCCCATTCTCACCAAACCCTTTGCCGATCACACCAAAATCGTCGCCATTCGACACGGCACTTCCGCCAATGTCTACTCGTACGAAGCCTACCACGAACTCAATGTCAAAACCAAGAATTGGGAAGACTTGATTTCGGGAGAGAAATTCAATCGCAAGACGGATGTCTGGATTCTCAATGATCCCGATGATATCGAGATCCAAAAGAAACGTGATATCAACACATTTTACCATATTCAACATCAGCGACAGCTGGAAGCCAACAAACAGCAAACCAGTAATATTCGACACAGTGTCACGGCCAGTCGTATTTTGGATAAAATGAAAAAGAACGACAGCAACAATACTAAAAAGAGATCGTCCTCCGAGCCCTCCTCCGATCTCCAACAAGAAGGCAAGCGACTCAAAATATTTTCAGACGATGTCACGCGTGCCGCCTTGACATCGGGAAAGGCATCGGGATCCTTGACCAGTACCGTTATGGAAATCACCCCCGACAATGAGACGCGAGAAGCAACCCAAGAAGAAGTATTGAAATCGATGTGTGTGGTATTGCGACGTCTCAAGAAAAAGGGCTACGTGCGCATGGAATTGTCCACTGGTCAGTATCTGGTATTGGAGATTCATTGCGACTATGTGCCACGGACCGCCACCAATTTTATCAAATTGTGTCAAGAGAAAAAGTACAATGGAAGTTCGTTTCATCGGTTGATCAAGAATTTCATGATTCAAGGAGGGAAACCGCCCAAGAACAGTAGTGATAGTAGTGACGAGTGCTACTGGGGTGGCTCCTTTCGAGATGAATTTGATGATCGACTCAAACATACTGGTGAGTCTTATACTTTTTGTTTTTGTTTTGTCGCTTTGTACCGTGTGAAAAATCGGCTTCTGATCAGTGTGCCGCTTGATTCGATCGATTCATTCATTCTTCTACAGCACCTGGGATACTCTCCATGGCGAACGCCGGCCAGCACACTAACAAGCGACAATTCTTTTTCACATTTGCACCTTGCGAACACCTTGACAAGAAACATTCCATATTTGGGGTTGTCATTAAGGGGTTGGACGCACTCAAAGAGTTGGAAAAGATACCCACGGACAAGAAGGATCGACCAATGAAAGAAATCACTATTGCGGATACGATAGTGGTGGACAATCCAGTCGAAGAGGCAGAAGAGATGGAACGAAAACGAATTGAAGCCAAGCAAAAAGCTGCCGGCAAGGCAGCAGCACAACAGGAAAGCGCTTCCGCTGGGGCAGCCAAGCCAGTTGCGGCCAAGGCAAAAACGACAACGATTGGACGATATTTGCCCAAGACGGCGGATACCAAAAATGATGACGACATTGGCATTCCCGTTGTGCCAAAGGCAGCAGCAAAGCCAGCCAACGCCGAGCCAAAGGCCAAAATGAAGTTTGGCAACTTTAGTGGTTGGTAAACACCACTCTTCACAATGTGAGTCAATGACTGACTAATTACCATCCATTGCAGGTTCAATTCGCATGCATTATGTTAGTTTGCATTGGTACCGTATCTCTGGCTGTCACCTTGTCTAAGCTGAGGCGCTGAACGGTATAAAAGATGGTTGCCCAAGTGCCTTTGACGTTGGGTCCATGGTGCCTGCAACACTCTGCTGTGTCATCCCTATTTTAAACACCCCAAGATAGTGACTTTATCAGCTGAATGTGCCGGTTTGTGCTGTGGCAATGGGTGGTGACTGTATGAGGAATGATTTGATTGGCTAGCAAAGTAGGGCAGACAGCTTTGCTCAGTGTTGAACCCCTCGCCAACAATGCCTGTCTCTGGACCTTGGTTGGTATTTACTGTTTATTCCTTACTGCCATGAGGTCAGTAAAAGGAGCAGTAATGGCAGTAATGCAGTAATTCCTCAGTAGCAGTAATCATACACAGTAATTTAGAGCCAATTGAAGGCAGTAAAATACAGTAATTGCAGTAATAGAGGCTAATTACTGTGCTTTTAATGTCATTTACTGGATATTACTGTTGCATAGCCCGATTACTTACTGCATGGGATTACTTACTGCAGTAACTAGGGGGCCAACAATGGCAGTAATTGGACAGTAAGGAGCCAGTAACCCGGATTTACTGCAGTAAATACCAACCAAGCTCTGGACCCCACATTGGCTAATGTAGCTGTTGCATCTTGAACATTATTAGCCAACTTCATCCCTGCCTGGACTTTGCCATGCCTTCCCAGACTGTACGGCTGTACAAGATGACTTGACGCTGAGCTAACGCGGATTGTGCTAATTAGTCTAACTACTAGAGTGCTCACTTTTTCCAACAACTGTTCTTCTTAGTTGTTGGTTGTGGGTTGCACCACTAATAGTACATGTATTGCAGGCTACTAGTACACGTATGGTATGGCCACCACGCACCGAAAGCGTAAAGCCAAACTTTTTGAAAGCTGTATTCGAAGGAAGTGAAAGAAAAAGCTGATCATCGCGGAAGCGTTCGTCAGTACGGTACGCCACTCGTGCTTTGGAAAGGAGACGTTGACTGGGTCATCACACTCTCAAGATGCAAATCAAGGTATTTCAAGAATAAGAGATCTGAAATAGGGCTAGACTAGTCGGCCGATGGTAGCCGCCTACGCAGCTCTACGCAAAGGCGGAGTAAAAAAGAAGCAAAAGGATAGTCGGCCCGACCAGACCGAGGGCAGAGTTCCATTTAAGTAGCGCGAGTCTGATCGAAATTTTCGATTGCTGCATGAAAGCCACTGTACATTTTAGAGTACTAAAGTTCACTAGATTCCGTGCCCCAAGTGCATGTGCTCGGCGGCTCGGCGGTCGACGGCAGAGTGGCAGGAATGCGAATCGAATCGGTGCCGACGGCGATGTTTGAGTTTTCCGTCAATCCTGCTCAATCCATCAGCTATCCATCACACATTTTCCGATGCCCACATCACATTTCGCGATCTTTTGCTAACCTCCAAACTGGTACGCTGTACTAAATATATTACCTACCCTACTATCCACTGTACTACCTAGAGTATTCAACCATGTCTCTTCATCCTCCTACTACCAAATCTGTGATTGTTGTCGGCGATGGATATGCTGCTAAAAACACGCTACAAAGCTTGGTGGCCCGCCACGGCGGAAGTGTTACTGTTGTAGCTGGTGTATCTAACCCTGAAACTTTCACTCCTATGGCCGGGGTAATTCCCACAAAAGCTAACATGTGGGACAAATACGCCTTGGCCGAGACCTTGAAGGAACGAAACTACGCTCGGTTGTTTCTGGTTTTGCCAGGGCACGCAGATCGGTTGCACGTGGGTATGAACGGTCTCCATGCCGCCAGGGAAGCTGGAATCAAGCAGGTTGTTGTGATTTCAGTGCTCACCGCTGATACTCGCACTGACGTTGACGGTCACTTTCGTCCCCTCAAAGACGACGTTAAAACACTTGGGCGTGTTTCGGCTGTGGGGCGTGAAGACAATGACGCAGCTTCTTTGGATGAGTCTCCTCCTCCTCTTCCTCTTCTCGCACAAGCCCCAATGGTCCGACGCATCAGTTCAACAAGCGTCAGAAACAACGTCAGCTCTGATCATTCCTCTGCATCCGGTGGATCGCAGGATGTGTCAGATCCATCCAAGTGCCTCCGAATTCAGCGAAGGAACATTGTTGAGGGTTGGTTCCCCATGAAGGTGAAGATCGTTCAGTTCTCGCTTCCCAGCTTTGACCCCAAGTCCAGAGCTGGAAAGCCAGTCAACGCGACAAGTGATAATGGTATTTCCCTCCTGGAACAGGCTTTGATGGGTCCTTATCATTCAAAAGTGGCTACCGCCTCGGGAATTCCAACCACTCCTGTTGATGATAGCCACGTGGCTGGATCGTCGCAATTGCCTGATGATGGCACACTCTTGAACAAGGCCCCAACAGTCTGGCAGGAATATCTGGAGTCTCTGGTACCGCCAGGGGAGACGGTGGAAGTCCCCAAGGAAATATCTTTCACAGCATCTCCTACTCCGCTAGCTCCCGCTGCTGTGGCTCCAGTTCCACCATTTAATGTTGCCAACATCGACCGGTTTTCCCCTCAAGCTGATCAACGTCCTGTACAGAACGATAGACTGGTGGGCCTCATCCAAGCACTTCAAGCACGACAACGTGCCTTGACTTATCACCCTGGCTGGATGTAATAAGTCTTCTTTATATTTTTCCGAGGGCATGTTTGATGGGATTCATCCAGGCCGACATCACTTGACGTTCAAGATTAGGATTGCATTATTTGTCCATATAATAAATAGTTGTCTCCATTATCAACCGTTCCATCTTCGAATAGACTTGTCATGTGTCGGCTGTCGCTGGATGTCTGCACACCATGGGCTGCTTCCTGTCACGTGATCAGGTGATTGTCAATTTATTGGACCATGGGAAATGATGATTTTGAGGTCTACTAGAGTGATCTCTTCAGCCGGCAAAACCATCACCTATGGTATTCCGCTTGTCGACGAATGCCCTGGAGGTCTGCTCTGTGATGGTAGCATCCATAAAGATGGACTGTTTGGTGGAGAAGAATGAGAGGAAGGTTGGATATCAAAAAAGAGTCACGGTGTCATGGTCTCGTCATGGTCTCGTCACGGTCGCAGTTTCCTTTTTCGGAAGCCATTCGAAGGTGTCTCGGGAGCTTCCGGTTTATGACGTCATTCTGCCATCAAAGTGGCGTTTGAGGGATCAGGAAAGCCAGTCTACCGGTAGCGGTACCGGTAGGATCGGATATCGGATCCTTCGGAGACACAGAGATTGCATGTCTCAATCTTCGAACAGACTTGCCTTCCATGCATCATGATCGGCTCTCGATAGCTCTATTGCTCTATCTAGTAGAGCTAACCACACCGACCCCACTGTGCATCGTCACAATTCCATACACCAGTCACCCCCATGACATCCTCAACGTGTGCTGCCGTGTCCATCCAAATTCTTGATCCATCTCGCTTTGCTCTGGACTCATCCGAGAGAATACTAAGGGCATTAATGTTAGCACCGCCTCCTGGGTTCTTGTATGATACTCCCCAGGGTGCTTCCATCTCTCGGTCCATTCGGGCCTTTCCCACATTCGTCTGCATGACGATCGGCTGTCTGGCTGCTCGTTCATTCTTACCGGCGGCCATATTGGCCACTGGATTGATCGAGCTTCAACTTTCCAGGTAACACTTGTTCAAACCGCCATCTAACTGCCAGTCCGCACTCCTGTGCAAACGGTACTCTTCTGCGCCCGGGCCCATAGTGAACTTGGCTAAGGCTGGAGCTTGGTTCGGAACGGTAACTGGGATCCCTACTTGGGTGTACTGCGGACGGAACTGGAACTCGTTTTTTGTAGGATTGGAAACGCCTGGAAGTGTCGAGCCAGCGTCGGAAGCGGACGATGGGAACTGCTGGAATTGCTGGGTTTGCGCTTGGTGTGCTTGGTGTTGTGGAGGAATCGATCTTGGTGGAATTGGACTGAAAATTGGTCGGAACTCACTCCTTTGCGACTGAGCATCGGGGCTCATCGCAGAGTGTTGCTGTGGAAGCTGGGCGGCGGTCACGGTCTGTGGAACCTGAGCCGTGGAAGATTCACGAAACCGATGGTACTGTTGGAAGAACTGCTTCTTCAGACCTTGGACCTTGTTAATCGCCCACTCGGGCTTTGGGATCTTGTCTCGGACTTTGCAATCCGGCCACTTGTGGTTGGGATTGCCACAGCACGTAAGCAGGACTCGCCCCGCTTATTCTGCTGATAGAGGACAACGGCATTGACACCAAACTCCCTCTTGGTTGGGTCAATCATCTTGGCTGGCCCACAGCCCGGCCAACAGGCACGTCTGGCCTCATACAACTCCTTGCTGGGCTTGAATCGATAAGAGTTGAGGGTCTCACGAAGAGCTTCAAGGCTCGTGTGATAATTACTCGTGCCATTCATGGCATAGGACGCCTCAACGGTAGCCTGATAGTCGCCATACCGCCCTGGGAATAACCCTCTGTAGCCAATGAGAGCAATGATCTCGTTGCGAACGTCATTCAGGTACTCTTTCACCTTGTCTTGGTCAACCTTGATCTTCTCGTACTCGGCTGCTTCAGAGGAAACAGTCCATGTAGCCTGTGCCAACGATGTCAGTAATTTGAACCGAGTCGGCAGCCACTCTACGGAGAAAGACATCAGTCGGTTCTCCTTTCTCTTGCTTGGGGGAAAAGGGCACGCTGTAACTGGCTGACCAACTGGACAACGGGATGCCCCCTGGTGGTGCCTGCGGCAGTCAGTCTTCGGATCTTGCCTAGGACCTTAATGGGATCTAGTTTGATCTGCTCCCAGTCACGGAGACATCGTAGTCTTGCTCTCTTCATCTGTAGGATAAGACACATAAAAGACCAGGAACCAAACTAGATTGCTGGCTGCCCCATTTCTGCAGTGGGCCGCCACAAGAGGGGGAGCTAGAGGTGCAGTACGCTCTCCTGCATAGCGACTGAGGAATGTGTACGATGGGGCTGTCCGGAGAGATTATTCATAGTACCTATGCTGTGTTGGGTAGAGACCGATTTGTCGGCCTAATTGTGTCAAGAGAAAAAGTACAATGGAAGTTCGTTTCATCGGTTGATCAAGAATTTCATGATTCAAGGAGGGAAACCGCCCAAGAACAGTAGTGATAATAGTGACGAGTGCTACTGGGGTGGCTCCTTTCGAGATGAATTTGATGATCGACTCAAACATACTGGTGAGTCTTATACTTTTTGTTTTGTTTTGTCGCTTTGTACCGTGTGAAAAATCGGCTTCTGATCAGTGTGCCTCTTGATTCGATCAATTCATTCATTCTTCTACAGCACCTGGGATACTCTCCATGGCGAACGCCGGCCAGCACACTAACAAGCGACAATTCTTTTTCACATTTGCACCTTGCGAACACCTTGACAAGAAACATTCCATATTTGGGGTTGTCATTAAGGGGTTGGACGCACTCAAAGAGTTGGAAAAGATACCCACGGACAAGAAGGATCGACCAATGAAAGAAATCACTATTGCGGATACGATAGTGGTGGACAATCCAGTCGAAGAGGCAGAAGAGATGGAACGAAAACGAATTGAAGCCAAGCAAAAAGCTGCCGGCAAGGCAGCAGCACAACAGGAAAGCGCTTCCGCTGGGGCAGCCAAGCCATTGCGCCAAGGCAAAAACGAAACGATTGGACGTATTGCCCAAGACGGCGGATACCAAAAATGATGACGCCATTGCATTCCCGTTGTGCCAAAGGCAGCAGCAAAGCCAGCCAACGCCAGCCAAAGGCCAAAATGAAGTTTGGCAACTTTAGTGGTTGGTAAACACCACTCTTCACAATGTGAGTCAATGACTGACTAATTACCATCCATTGCAGGTTCAATTCCATGCATATGTTAGTTTCATGGTACCGTATCTCTGGCTGTCACCTTGTCTAAGCTGAGGCGCTGAACGTTATAAAATATGGTTGCCCAAGTGCCTTTGACGTTGGGTCCATGGTGCCTGCAACACTCTGCTGTGTCATCCCATTTTAACACCCCAAGATAGTGACTTTATCAGCTGAATGTGCCGGTTTCTGCTGTGGCAATGGGTGGTGACTGTATGAGGAATGATTTGATTGGCTAGCAAAGTAGGGCAGACAGCTTTGCTCAGTGTTGAACCCCTCGCCAACAATGTGCTCTGGACTCTCTGGACCCCACAGTATGGCCTAATGTAGCTGTTTACATCTTGAACATTATTAGCCAACTTCATCCCTGCCTGGACTTTGCCATGCCTTCCCAGACTGTACGGCTGTACAAGATGACTTGACGCTGAGCTAACGCGGAGAGTGCTAATTAGTCTAACTACTAGAGTGCTCACTTTTTCCAACAACTGTTCTTCTAAGTTGTTGGTTGTGGGTTGCACCACTAATATACATAATGCAGGCTAATGTACAGCTATGGTATGGCCACCACGCACCGAAAGCGTAAAGCCAACTTTTTGAAAGCTGTTTCGAAGGAAGTGAAAGAAAGCTGATCATCGCGGAAGCGTTCGTCAGTACTTACGCCACTCGTGCTTTGGAAAGGAGACGTTGACTGGGTCATCACACTCTCAAGATGCAATCAAGGTATTTCAAGAATAAGAGATCTGAAATAGGGCTAGACTAGTCGGCCGATGGTAGCCGCCTACGCAGCTCTACGCAAAGGCGGGGTAAAAAAGAAGCAAAAGGATAGTCGGCCCGACCAGACGAGGGCAGAGTTCATTTAAGTAGCGCGAGTTGATCAAATTTTCGATTGCTGCAGAAAGCCACTGTACATTTTAGAGTACTAAAGTTCACTAGATTCGTGCCCAAGTGCATGTGCTCGGCGGCTCGGCGGTCGACGGCAGAGTGGCAGGAATGCGAATCGAATCGGTGCCGACGGCGATGTTTGAGTTTTCCGTCAATCCTGCTCAATCCATCAGCTATCCATCACACATTTTCCGATGCCCACATCACATTTCGCGATCTTTTGCTAACCTCCAAACTGGTACGCTGTACTAAATATATTACCTACCCTACTATCCACTGTACTACCTAGAGTATTCAACCATGTCTCTTCATCCTCCTACTACCAAATCTGTGATTGTTGTCGGCGATGGATATGCTGCTAAAAACACGCTACAAAGCTTGGTGGCCCGCCACGGCGGAAGTGTTACTGTTGTAGCTGGTGTATCTAACCCTGAAACTTTCACTCCTATGGCCGGGGTAATTCCCACAAAAGCTAACATGTGGGACAAATACGCCTTGGCCGAGACCTTGAAGGAACGAAACTACGCTCGGTTGTTTCTGGTTTTGCCAGGGCACGCAGATCGGTTGCACGTGGGTATGAACGGTCTCCATGCCGCCAGGGAAGCTGGAATCAAGCAGGTTGTTGTGATTTCAGTGCTCACCGCTGATACTCGCACTGACGTTGACGGTCACTTTCGTCCCCTCAAAGACGACGTTAAAACACTTGGGCGTGTTTCGCTGTGGGGCGTGAAGACAATGACGCAGCTTCTTTGGATGAGTCTCCTCCTCCTCTTCCTCTTCTCGCACAAGCCCCAATGGTCCGACGCATCAGTTCAACAAGCGTCAGAAACAACGTCAGCTCTGATCATTCCTCTGCATCCGGTGGATCGCAGGATGTGTCAGATCCATCCAAGTGCCTCCGAATTCAGCGAAGGAACATTGTTGAGGGTTGGTTCCCCATGAAGGTGAAGATCGTTCAGTTCTCGCTTCCCAGCTTTGACCCCAAGTCCAGAGCTGGAAAGCCAGTCAACGCGACAAGTGATAATGGTATTTCCCTCCTGGAACAGGCTTTGATGGGTCCTTATCATTCAAAAGTGGCTACCGCCTCGGGAATTCCAACCACTCCTGTTGATGATAGCCACGTGGCTGGATCGTCGCAATTGCCTGATGATGGCACACTCTTGAACAAGGCCCCAACAGTCTGGCAGGAATATCTGGAGTCTCTGGTACCGCCAGGGGAGACGGTGGAAGTCCCCAAGGAAATATCTTTCACAGCATCTCCTACTCCGCTAGCTCCCGCTGCTGTGGCTCCAGTTCACCATTTAATGTTGCCAACATCGACCGTTTTCCCCTCAAGCTGATCAACGTCCTGTACAGAACGATAGACTGGTGGGCCTCATCCAAGCACTTCAAGCACGACAACGTGCCTTGATTATCACCCTGGCTGGATGTAATAAGTCTTCTTTATATTTTTCCGAGGGCATGTTTGATGGGATTCATCCAGGCCGACATCACTTGACGTTCAAGATTAGGATTGCATTATTTGTCCATATAATAAATAGTTGTCTCCATTATCAACCGTTCCATCTTCGAATAGACTTGTCATGTGTCGGCTGTCGCTGGATGTCTGCACACCATGGGCTGCTTCCTGTCACAGGTGATCAGGTGATTGTCAATTTATTGGACCATGGGAAATGATGATTTTGAGGTCTACTAGAGTGATCTCTTCAGCCGGCAAAACCATCACCTATGGCATTCCGCTTGTCGACGAATGCCCTGGAGGTCTGCTCTGTGATGGTAGCATCCATAAAGATGGACTGTTTGGTGGAGAAGAATGAGAGGAAGGTTGGATATCAAAAAAGAGTCACGGTGTCATGGTCTCGTCATGGTATGGTCGCAGTTTCCTTTTTCGGAAGCCATTCGAAGGTGTCTCTTGAGCTTCCGGTTTATGACGTCATTCTGCCATCAAAGTGGCGTTTGAGGGATCAGGAAAGCCAGTCTCCATACCGGTACGGTACCGGTAGGATCGAATGATCGAATCCTTCGGGGACACAGAGACAAGATGCCTCCGGTGGCGCCAACTACGGAAACAGAAAAAGCAAAAAGGCATGACAGTGGATTGCACAACCCTCCCAGCTACTGACATGGCTCCCTAGCAGTTTTCCTAGCTCCTTCCCCCGCCCTACTAGTTCCAGCCCCGTCCTGGTTGTACCTCCCCTGCTGGCATGAGCCCAGCTAGTTAGCCTCAGCTTCCCAGTCAGTGACATCTCTATAGCATTTCTCCTGGGCAGCTCCTTCCCCAGCTCAATGCCCAGTTTCATCCCAAATGCTCCTCCTCTGCTGAGCCTCAGCTATGAGTTAGATTACTGCTAGAGCTACCAAGCAACCTCTTAGCCAGCGGAGGAGTCGGTCGGTAGAGGAGTGGAGTTGGGTTAATCTGGCCGGTACGCTAATGGTATAATCTACCTTTTACTGTACTCACCATACAGGACTGTCCGCGGTTTTCACTCAGACTTTAAAACCAGGGTTCTCATGTAAGGGCATGTTTATTTAAGGGCATGTTTAAGGCATGTTTCAGATTTAAGGCATGTTTAAGGGCAATGTTTATATAAGGGCATGTTCATTCGTGATAAGGGTTGTTTATGGTTTCAATGAAGGCTTAAGGGGTTGTTTAAGGGTATGTTTTAAGGGGTTGTTTATTTAAGGGATGTTCATTTTTTTAAGGGCATGTTTAAAGGCATGTTTAAAACGGTGCTCAGCGTGGAAATTTCATTTTTTGTTTTAGAGCCTGAGCGAAAACGGGTCTGGTACCGTATGGTTAGCCTGTAACCTAAAACGAGGACCAACCATTGATTGATTGATTGACACACCAAACAACAAAATCCGCAACAAGCCAACTCCATAGTTGGCGATTGCATGTCTCAATCTTCGAACAGACTTGCCTTCCATGCATCATGATCGGCTCTCGATAGCTCTATTGCCCTATCTAGTAGAGCTAACCACACCGAGCCCACTGTGAATCGTCCAATTCCATACACAGTCACCCCCATGCCATCCTCAACGTGTGCTCCTTGCCTCGCCGGCAAGAATCTTCAGAAAAGCTTTCTCATTTAGCGTTCCTAACCAGTGGTGTCGTGGTGGAACGGTACCCTATATACTGGCTGATCCTTAAGCGTTCCGTGGTGGCTCGTTACTCGCGTACGGAAGAACCTGACACTGAACACCCTGAGACTCGGACAAATCTAGAATTAAGGTCAAAAGGAAGACGGAAGGACACGGTAAGTCGCAGATTAGGATCCAATCGAGTCTTGAACACTGAAATTGTGAGAAACACGGCGATTGAGCAATATAATGTGGGAAAGCCCGTTGCGTGCTCTCTCATTCGAGCGGGCTTCAACCACAATTACCTCGTTGAAATGGGCAATAAGAAGAAGTATGTACTTCGAGTCTATCTCAACGACAAGTACTACATAAAGACTCCAATGATTTCCGATTCGAACTGGATTTCATTGACTATTTGATCAAAGATCATGGGATTCCAACGGTACAGCCCATCAAAGCAAAGAACGGCGACTGGTTAAGTCAAATCCGGTTTGGAGAGCTACCCCAGGAAGGAGCAGCAATAAAAACAACCGCAGCAACCAACAACTTCATTCGGCACGCGGCACTTTTCGAATATGCTCCAGGAATTGAAGTGGCGAATAATAATATGGAGTTGACACCTGCCCACTTCAAGATCCTTGGAGAGTTGCAAGCTCGCATCCACCAAGCCGCCGATCAATTTACTAATCCTAACAATCATCATCGGTACCAACAGGATGTTTCGACATATCTTCTCGATGAACCGCTCAAAACACTGGAACGAGAACTATCCAGGTACAATATGCAGCAGCAGATGGACTTTTTTAAGCCAACTGCTCAAGCCATCCGCGACAAGGTGGCGAAACTACCAAAAGAGAAGCCATACTATGGTTTGAATCATGGCGACTTGCATCCTGGTAATATGTTTTGGGATGATGCCACGCAGACGTTTACTGTTATCGATTGGGATCATTCGGCCTATGGATGGCGTGTCTATGATTCCGCATCTATGGTCAGCCCGAACAAGTTGACATTCTTCTTGATGGGCTATGAATCTGTGCGTCCATTGTCGCGGAGGAAAAGGAAGCGATACCTCTGTTTAGGTTGCTCAGAGACATTTGGGACTTTGGTGATATTCTCGCGTTTCAACCCTTGTGGGGAGATGATAATGCCAGTGATAAAAATAGGAAGGAAGAGCTCCGTGGCTACCTCGATCGGCTTCGTCGGGTTGCCACAGCTTTCGAAGAGCAGTACGGTGATGGCAAAGCGGCAGTAAATCAGGCGAACACGTTCTGAGAAGAACGTCTCACGGTATCATTCACAAATTGATCATCGCCTTTGCCACGGAGCCAAACCCGGTCCTTCTGCTTTGGCGGAGGTTGACAGGCGCCTTTTTACTGCTACATAGATTGATGATCTGAGGAGCTCACCATTACTGCAACGTGCACACACTAGTTCGTTATAGTAGCTACGCATGTGATTACACGCGTACATGCACTTAGGATGCTGTCTTATGGTCATCGTTGTCAGGCATGCACTGAGCTCTTGGCATCCGCAGCCAGCCTCTCACATCAATGCAGCTGGGCTTCATCTTCTAGTGATGGCAAGTTCGTTGTCATTTTGCCTCACCACCGTGAAGTAAGCTCTCAATCACGCTCTTGTTTGGAAAGATGTCGTTACAGTCACGTCAAGGAGGGCACCATTTTCATCTGTTGCCCGTTGCCGTCGTCAAAAAATACAATCTCGTTCACATCGCCGTCCTTCAACATTGCTGGACAGCTTTGCTGGAGCTGGTCCACGCGATCGCAAATAAGACGAGTCATCCGCTCCAATTCAGACTGGTCATTTCTCTGGTAGCAAAATCTTCCAAGCGCTCAAATTCGATTCTTTTGATATCTCGAAGCTTTTTGCGCCCGCGTCTTTGCCAGAATCTGACGTTGCCTCTGCATAGTTGGAGGCTAGCGCTGCTGATCATTTGAGAGAGGGTCTTCATACTTTGCTGTTTGTTGCCCAACTTTACTTCCGTCGGGGTTCCATTGCAATCGACTGCATCAACTTCACCGGAAATCAGCACCGTTGAGTTGCCGATCTTCATCAGCTGGAGGTTTTCTGCTTCACTATGGTCGTACGGCGGTTCAGGGGAAGTTCCAAGAAGGAAACGTTCGAATTGGTGGCCATGTGCAGACAAGTTATTCGTGTATGCCTTGTACCGGGAAACGAACAAAATTCCGGTGCTTGGTATTCTCATCACGATAAATTTCTCTCCATCATCTTGCAGCTCACCTGTAGCCAAGAGGAAGAGCGAATAACTCCCAAACATAAAGTTGACAGATTTCGGGTCGACACCTTTGTGATTGGTGGCCACATACAAAGAAGCAATTGAGTGTTGACCAAATGGGAACAAGTTCTCCACGAGGAAGGGTTCCAGAAAGGAAAGCTTTCTTGGAAGGGTTGCTCTCAATGCCTGGACGTCCAGGATGGTTTTGGGTTTTCTCGTGAAGTCAATCATTTGCCGAATATCTTCAGCAGTGACCGAGGAAAGGGGATTGTAAGATCCTGTTGGATTCCAGCCGTAGTAACCCAAGTCACTGAGAGGTTCCAACTTGTCTTGGATCCCAATCCTCGTCAAAGCTTCTTTCAATTCCTCGTTCGGCGGTGGAAGATCAGTGCTTCCATCGCTTGAAAATCTAATGTGCAAAGAAGAAGACCATTTTGCAAATGGTGGGTGCAGAATTGATGCCCGGTAGCCTTGTTGGAAAGATGTTGCCTTGTTTACTACCGAAACGGCAAAAAACCTTTTAAATCCAACCAGTCTCATGGTGATGAATCAACCTCACCTGAGATAAGACGATAGACGCAGTTAAGGTGTCATGTTGGATGGGTTGTGTCCTTGCGACCCCGCAATTTTTGCCGCCAATAAGGTGTCTCGGAAGTCGTTTCTCTCATTAGAGCGCAGGTTCAGGAGTTTGCTAGGAACAGCCCCCCCAACAGGAGAAATTCTCTCTGTTTATACCAGCTAAGACTCATGTGCGCAACACAAGAAAACCAGCCTGTACACTTATCAAAATTTTACTGGAAGTGTCAAAACTTTAGAATAAAATTCCAAAATATGATAAATTGATTCTAAACACCTTGATTTTAAGAGTATCCGTGACATGATTTATTGCCTTGGTTCAAACAAGCCACAAAGTTGGCCTGAAAAACAATGCTGGAGGACTACAGGATGAACTCAACCAATATGGCACCTACACCACCAAGCTAAACATGTAGAGTTATCTACTTTCTTTGCTTGTCGCAGCCATGTGCTGGTTGTAGTGGTAGCAGCCGTGTAGAAGGCATTATCTTATGTCAAATAGATATTTTTTCTTCCAATATTTCCAAGTTCTCAAGCTTCACCTTCATTTTGGACTGTGTTACCCTTCTGCTATAAACCCAATCATGTCTATTGATCTAATGGACAATTGGGGAGAATCTACCATGAACTAGTATGATCCTCGAGTTAATAGAAAAAGTGGCAGCCCAGACCACAAATCCAATATGACAGCACCAACTCAGCACTATTCTGGTGGTTCTTCTGATAGTAGTAATAGCATTAGCCATTCCAATCTTTTTGTTTGTCTAACTGAAGGAATGGATCAATCAGATGGGTGAAATGGGGCCAGTAGTGGGGGATAGATGGGCCGTCCTATCAGTGAGAGTAAATCTTGCCAGAAAATGGCTGCCCTACTTTGCTGGCCATTCGTCGCTCCCATGACTGG